TTTTTTTTTTTTTTTTTTTTCAAAAATTGCATTTTAAATAAATACATGAACATTTGTCTCCATTGTGAAAATAAAACACTGTGCCGTATCCAACATTGCTGGTGTTTTAACATAAAACAAAAATGAAAATTTACATCATCACATTTTGAAAGTACAAATTTATAAAAAGATATTAAATTTTTTACACACATTTACATTTTTTGTTGCCTTTTGATTAATAGAAAACTTAATGGTGTTGACATATTGCTTGACCTCATTGTTAAAAGCAATAAAAGATATTTTGGAATGTGTAAACTTACATTTATGAATATAGAATCTTTTCAAGAGAATAATCAGATTAATAATGAAAGTTTCATTTGGTCTAGTCTTAGTACTGTTGAGGTCATAAAGTCCAAAAAGGACATCCTTCCAAAATAACTTAAAATCTTTCTCAGTTTTTTCTGCAATAAACTTAGAAATGTCAGACCAGATATTTTGGACAAAAGTGCAATGCCAAAACAAATGGGTTACAGTTTCAACAGTCATAGAACAAAAAGTGCACAATCTATAAATGTCCTGCTGGATGAGTCTGTTAGGAAACTGGGAGTGTTAGTGACGTCATGTGAGCTGGGAGGAGGAAGGAGAGAGAAGTTTCCTCTCTCTGCTGCTTTCTATCATTTATTAGAGAAACGGAGAGAAAATAGTCCTGGAAAAGGTTCCTAAAGCAGCTTCCTTTCTCCATTCCTTCCCTTTCGCGTCTCTTCCTGCGGCTGCTTTTCTTCTTCTTCTTCTTCTTCTTCTTCTTCTTCTTGCTGACGTCAGCGTCCGCATTCCTCCGCTGTGATTTAAAGAGCTGGTTGAGTTTCAGTGAAACTAACTAACTTTCTAACATTAGCGCTGCTTTTTAACCGACTCTACATCAAATAAGAAGACTGGAAGAGAAGAGCGGCTGGCAGGGTAAGGCTGGCAGGGTAAGGCTGGGTAAGGCTGGAAACATCTCACTCTGACAGCTAGCTAGCTCAGCTACTGCTCTGCACTTTATCTAAATAATTAGCATTATTATTATAAAACTGCATCAGAGGTTCTCTATGTGTGGTTCAGGGGCCCTTTGGGGTCCCTGCTGTTGTAATTGGGGCCAAACATTAAGGCAGGGAAGTTCCTATTGATTTATGTTGATCTAAGCAGTTTTCTATGAAAAAGTTTTAATATTTAAACGATAAACACATGAGGCAGGTCATATGATCAGGTTAAAATTTAAGACAAGGTTATAAAAGTTGCTCCAGGTCAGTTCGCTTCAACTGAGATCCTTTCAATCCTTCCTACTTCCTTCACTGAACACATTCACTGATTTAGCAGGAACAGAAATGCTGCTGATCTACTGGAGTTTGCTCTGGTTCCCTGTTTAATTCTATTCAGTTTATTTCTATTTCTCCAATTCACATCATGTCATCTCAGGTCACTTTATAGAGATGATTCAACCAGATCATCCAGTCAGATTGATTCAAAGTTTTCTAAGGAAAACCAGCTGATTGCATCGACTCATTGACTCTTCAGCAATCCCTCACACTAAGCATGCTTGTAGCGACAGTGGAGAGGAAAAACTCCCTTTGAACAGGAAGAAATCTGCAGCAGAACCAGGCTCAGTGTGGATGGATTATCAGACCAGATTAAACCAGTTATCACTGAACTCACAGCCGACACATTTGTTCTGCTTTAAAGGAAGTTTAAAGAAGTTTGGGGAAACGAACATCATTACTATCCAACCTTTGATATCCATACGAGAAAAGCAATATGAATTGTTAACAATACAAATCAACTATTTATAAAATCTAAACTATTAAAATTACAAACATTATTCATAATGTATAAAGTGAGATATTCTCTTTTTCCTCAAACTTTAGAAAGTATGTTTCTAGTTAAAGGAAAAGTCCAGTCAGCAAAGATCTGTTTATTTATTTTTTTTTTAGCTATAACTTTTAGAAACTGTGGGACGTTATGCTACCTCAGTAAAAACGAAGCTTTATTGCTTTTTACACGCCTTTAACAGATACTCCAATAAATCATCTTTAGGTTAACTGTGTAGCTTAACGTTCCTGTTTTTCAGCAGTAAAGATTCTCTAAAGGACTCATTTCCATGTATTTATTGAGTGTTTTTCTTGCAGGTTGGTAGATCTGGATCCAGAACCAGTGACCATAGTGGAGGGAGGAGGCCGGGATGGACCCACCTCAGGCAGACCTCACGGCCATCTCTGCCGACTCCGCAGCTCTTCACTGGAAATTAAAGAGAAAGAAATCAGAGAAAAGGGTTCCGAGATTCTCCGGGAGCAGCTGGATGCAGCCAAGAGGGTGTCGTAACTTCTCCATGTTTGCATGCATGATTATAGCTTCAAATGGGAACCAAAAAGCTGACTATGCAGATGTTCCACCCAGTAAAATGATGCCGTTTGCTGCTTTCTGCACCACAGGAACTGAAACTAAAAGACAAGGAGTGTGAACGTCTGTCGCAAGTCAGAAATCAGCTGGAGCAGGAGCTGGAGGAGCTGACTGCCAGTCTGTTTGAGGTCAGCTCACTTTCTGCTGAGCCCACTATGAGACCTGCTCACTGTTTACTGAAACTTCTGAAAGTAGCACATTAGCTTGTTGGTGAAGATTCTCAGCCCCCTCAACCCCCCCTGTTTAAGATTCCCCTAAACAGAGGGGGTCCACGAGCCCATTTCTCCTGGTGCGCGCCCTCTTTAAAATGTGTTGTCCTCATAGCTCACTGTAAGCTCCACATACAGCCGGGACTCTATAGTGAACTTTATAGTGAACTCAGTTAACTGACTGTTCAGACAGATGATCACTGCTTTTTGCTCCGTTGGTCACGTAACTCCTCCTCCACCGCGTGGTGCCTGCGCCATCTTTGTTATTAGTCGCCACTGTCGGGTAGCGACAGCCTAAAGTGACTCAGACTTAGACTCAGGTTTATTTCTCCCTTGGGATTACTCCTTCAGGAATATTCTGGTTCCTGTAGCTTATATAGAGAACAAAGAGTTAAAGCAAGACGCCTTTGAAGATAAAAATGCAAAAGACTATATAAAAAGAGTGTATAATGTACAAAAAAGCATATGAAGAAAAAAGTATAAGTATATGGCGACTGTGGGCCGCTGTGACAGCAAATCCCATAATGCTTTGCGAGGAGAGCTCTCAGTGCAAAGCATTCTGGGATATATCTGCCTCTTCCGAGGCCTTTCTCTTCTTCTCCTACACTTTTCTTCTCACAAAGTATGACGGTGAGAAAGGTGAGCTTCAATGACTGTCTGAAACCGTAGCTCTCCACAGATATACGCCTGAAAGTGCGCAGAAAAAGCTAGCTATAGCAGGGATTAAAGTATTCTGGCCTCAGGTCGGATTTCCGGCTCGTAGCGATTGCCAGAGGGTAAAAAAATCACTTGAAAATAAATTGACGTTAAATAAATTAAAAAAAGACAATCAAAATCCTTCTTGCGTTTGTCAGCCAATGGCAGCAAAGGAGCGCACTGAAACTAACAGTATTATCCAATCAGACGGCGGGTGCTGTTCATGCTGTTGCACACTCTACACGTTTACCGGGAGCTACGGCAACATCTGTTTTACCAGCGTCAATAACTGCCTGCGTGTGGTGAGTTAAACATCAGGGTTCTTTCCTCACCGAACACGACCTCTCAGTCACACTAGATATATAGTAGATAGATGCACTACTGCCTTCTGCTGGCCGTTTTTGGTATTAGATTTTTAAAAGTCAAATTTAGTCTTCAATCCTTCATCCAATCTCTGATCCCATGCCCCCAACAGTGGGGTGTGTGTGTCAAAAGTTCAGGCTCAGTATTTTTTTTCTTTAATCCCTGCTAACGGGACGAGCGCGTAGGATGGCCTTACGTAAGCATATCACCAGAATGATTGACAGTTAGGATGACCACTGATTTAGATGATCCACCCGGAAATAAAAAAAATCCTACTTTATATCATTAAGGAATATGTTTATAAAAAATCTTTTAAAAGCTTATTTTTTAAAAGTGAACAGTTGCGAGTGCATTATCTTGTTTTAATCACACATTTTATTTTGACAGGAAGCCCATAAGATGGTCCGTGAAGCTAATGTTAAGCAAGCAGGAGCAGAGAAACAACTGAAGGAAGCTCAAGGAAAGGTGCGCCAAGTTATTGTTTATCTCCATGTCCTCATGAAGGCCTTTTATTTTCCACTGTAAGCTAATGAACGCTTTGGGTCTGGCGTTTATTTCCCAGATTGACGTTCTGCAAGCGGAGGTGACCGCGCTGAAAACTCTGGTGTTGACGTCCACGCCCTCCTCGCCTAACCGCCAGCTGCATCCTCAGCTGCAGTCCTCCGCTTCACGGGGATCCTACAAACGCGGCGCGGGCCACATCCGCAACAAAAGCGCCAGTGGAGCCTTTCAGAGCTCACCTGGAAAACCTGAACCTGCACCTGTTTCCATTCAGTCGGCGGCTAAAGATGAGCGGGAGGCAAGTTACTCTGCTTCTCTCCTCTGCTTTCCTCTTTTTTCCATCATCTCCTGCATTGTGCTGCTTTCTTCTTTCTCTCTGCAGGCTCTAACCCCTTCCTGACTTTTTCTTCCTGTCTGTAACGGACGCCTCTTCCTTTCTCAGCTGCTCTCCTCTGTCTGATTTTCTGTCTGCTATCAGGGCAGTCAGTCAATGTAAACGTTGGCAGCACCAGGGGGGAGGGGCTAATTACCGACAACAAACAGGTAAACTGCTCATAACACACGTATTCTCTATACTGCAGTTTGTCCTCTGTATGATTATTTTAGATCCTGGTTTTTAATCTTCTTAAAGTTTAAGTATAGCATAAGTTGTAGTGAGAACACCTTTTATGTATGATGCTTTAACTTACAAAAATATCCCAGTATCTTTTGATTATATCTTGGTTAAAGCTTAATAAAAAAACAGTTGAAAGTGCGGCGTATATTGAAAAATAAAAATTCAGAAAGACTGAATCCTCTTCAACAGAGATGGACCAACATAAATAAATATAGCTGTCACAACAAATACCGTATTTTCTGGACTATATAGCGCACCTTATTATAAGCCACGCCCACTAAGTTTGTTGAAAAAACAGAATCTATAAATTGGAAATGTACATACATAAGCTGCTGATAGCTACTGAACTGTCTCCCACCCAACCTGTAGGGGGAGCTCTACATAAAGCCCCTGGAGTATGGAGGAAGAAGAATGCTAGCTCCGTTAGCTTG